TTATTACGGAACATCATGAACAAAATAAGCTGTTGACCAAAATAGATCCAGAGTCATGGAAGTAGGGAACAGACTAACAAACCTCAGAGAGATGGGGGATGGGAAGAGACAAACAAAGAACTTACATGCATATATGCACAATCAATGGACATAGACATTAGGCTGGGGAGAGCAGGAGAGGGGTGGGAGCGGGGGGGGGGGGGTGTCAATGGGGAAAAAAGGGTGACATCTGTAATACGTTTGACAATTAAAAAAAGGAGGCAAAAAACAAATTAATTAAATTTAAAAATAAAAATAAATAAATAAAAAGAGGTATAATCTCAACTATATAGATAAAAGCGCACAGAAATAGTGGTCAAATATTTTAAGTAATTCTTCTGGCACCATTCTAAGCCCTTTAGATATGTTAATTCACGTAATCCTTTAATACCTATTTGAGGTAGCTTTTACAATGAACTCCATTTTATCGATGAGAAACTGAGGCACAGAGTGGTTGAATCCAACAGTTAATGAGAATTAGATCCAGGATTTGTACTCCAGTAAACTGGATTCAGAATTTGTGCTTTTAATCAGAATGCTATAATGTTGCTAATCAAATAGGTAAGAGCCTAGGTTATAGGTTCAAGTATTTTATCTGTCACTTACTAGGTAAAGGCAAGTTACTTAACTTCTCTGTTTCAGATTCTTCATCATCAGTGAAAAGTACAGGCATGTCACAGCGCAGTGGAAAGGATTAAATGAGTTAATGCATGTGAAGTGCTAAGAAGAGCATTTGGCACAGTGAGCACTCAGTCAATGTCAGTTATTGCTATTATTATATGTACCTTTACTCCAGAAAAGAACTAGAAGATTTACCAAAGTGATACTTATATGAACCTGATTATATCTACATGTAAGAATATAAGGCTGATATATATATATAAATATTCCCATATGTGATGGAAGCATGAAGAAATTTTGTAAATTCTTCCTAAATACTGATATAGGTACTGGATATAAGAAGGCTATAATAGAAAACAATATTATCATAACAATATTGTAACATAATAATTAACATTTATTAGGTATTAACTATGTGTCAGACATGGTTCTTGGTGCTTTACAATAATTCTGTGAGGTAAGTAATATAATTAGCCCCATTTTACAGATGAGGAAAGGAAAACAGAGAGGTATAGTAGCTTGCCATGGATCACATAGCTAATAAGTTATGTAAATAAAAATTCTAGGTACCAAGGGAAGGTGTGTGAGATAGACTCCATCTTTTCTGGGTCTTTATGGCTACCACAGTTTCATTAAGTTTCTAAAACTCTGATTGAATAAATGAGAAATTGATAGTTAGGTATTATGATCAATACCTTCTAATTCACAGCATACTGACAGCCCAGCTCCCCTTGAAATACTTTCATATTATTTTTATAATTAAAAACAAAATTGTATTTTAAAAAGACTCAGAGATGAGAATAATTCTTGACTAGTTACAGATTTTAATCTAGTCTGATAATAATCACAGATGTTTGCTCTTAGTTTTAAATTCCACCAGAGTAATTATGTAACACTTGTGGACACTATTGGATCTAATAAAGAACAATACAAAAGATTAAAAAAAAAAAAAAGCAGTAGAAAAGAAAAGGGTAAGAGAAATAAACAGAAAAAATAATAAGGAGGGAAAGAACAAAAGTACAAAATACAGAGTCACAGTGTAGCAACAGACTTGCAGATGATTTTATTCGGCAGAACCCACATCTACTCTAGTGTAGGTGTCCTCAGATTGCCCTTCTAAGGAATTAATTCCTCAACCTAACTAACATGGTCATAACTGAGGCATTAACTAGAGTGGAATGACCTAGGATTTGGCTGAATTTATTGACTCTCATGGCAATACATCTTACTGTATCTTTAGCAGATCTGAGTTGGTCTCTGGGTATAACTACTCTAGAAGTAAACACCAGGAGCATTCTTTATAACCAACTCTATAAGGGGAACTACTAATATATGATAAAAATCTTTTATCTCCATTTTGTACATACTATTTGTATTTTTGAAAACATATTTATTTTCCTAATTGCAATTTGTTTAAGCTAATATTAAAATTTGTTTACATTCTTTGAGAACTAGCTACAGTAACAAGTGGTGCCAGAAACAGGGACCAGCCAGCCTGCAATGAAAGCCTGACTGCAGTCTTGTGGAGGATACACAAAATAAAATACTGGTATATGGTAGGATCTCATCAAATCATACATAGCGTAATAAGCAAAAAAACAAAACAAAACAAAAAAACCCAGAAAAATGAGATTTACTTTTTTGTAATTCTCTGCTAGGAAGCATACAAGGAATAAACTGAACTTGAGAGAGGGAAAAAAAAAACCCCACAAAACAAACATTTGATTCGGTGCCAAATAAATATGGGACTTATTTACTATTAACACAAGATCATTTAATAGAAATTTATAGTAAAGGCCTTTCATTACTTATCTCTGACATTTCTATGCGCCTTAAAAATTAATCTAAGTTACTAATAAAACCTATCGATCTGACAATAATTCCTTTTTTTCCCTCAAACACAAAGTTGAAATCTCTGTATGTCCAAAATAGCCTGTTTTGAGTGAAGGGTTATTGTTATGGTCAAAATAAAGGCGAGGGTTTGATTTTGGTGGAGTGAGGAGCTGAGAAAGAATGGGATCTGCTATGGTGCTGAGGTCAATTTCAGATGAAGGAGGATTAATGAATCTGTGAGAAACCTCATATATAACCAGATTATTTTTATTTCTGAGACATAAAAAGCATTTCTCTCTTCACTAGTACTTTATTTTCTCAATTCAATGTATAATTTTATGTTTCTTAAGGAAGTCAAATAAAGACTTGACCCTAGCCCTGGCCGGTTTGGCTCGGCGGTTAGAGCGTCAGCCTGCGGTCCGGAGAGACCCGGGTTCGGTTCCCGGTAAGGGCACGTACTTCGGTTGCAGTTTGTCCCCGGCCCTGGTTGGTCATGCGGGTGGCAGCCACTCGATGTGTCCCTTCACGTCGATGTTTCTGTCTCTCTCTCCCTTCTTCTCTCTCCCTCCCACTCTATCTGTACAAAAAAATGGAAAAATATCCTCGGGTGAGGATAGAAAAAAAAAAAGACTTGACCCTAAAGCTGTATTTCTCATTTGCTACATCTGAAATACTTAGAAAAAAAGAAAAGTTTGAAATACTGGACACATAGATCAATGATCTAGAGAACAGTTCTGAAAAAGCAATAAAATATGGCTTTAGATGAGTGTGTTTTACCACAAAAATCTAAATTTAAAGTGATATTCACATATTTTTTAAAATGCTTAAAAAATACCCAAAACTTTATCTGACATTTTGGAATGTTGCCTATAAAGCCCAACTGTATAATTAATTTTGCACAGTATATCCTCATAAGATCAAGGCTGAAAAGGTATGGCATGAGACTAAGAGTCCAACTTTAAACTGCTTAGTTCTTCCCTAAAGCAGAATACTGATTCTCTCATTATCCATGATTTTGATTACTATAATATATACTGGTTTGTAACAGAATCTGTCCTGGACTTAGTTTTGTGAAAATGAACGTGTTGGCAGTTACATTAATATTCTTTCTTTATTCAGTTACTTCTATTATGTAGAAATCTATGACAGTGTTCACTTTAAAAACAAAAAACACTCTCGTGATCCTATTAGGTTCTAAATGAGATGTTTGATTTCAAGAGTTTACTTAGCTTGAAAGTAAACAAATTAAACTTGCTTCCTTGTGGGATTAAGATGTACTTGAGAGTTCCCAACCACACAATTATTTTAACATGTCATTCTAACTAGATTCACAATACTAGTGATTTTTAATTTTATGAAGAGACTTTGGTGTGATACAACTAAAAAATCAGAAATGAGATTTTTTGGAAAAAAAAAAATGTCTTTGTAAATTATGACTTTTAGCAGAGATCTAATCAGTGAAGAAATTCTTATTAATGCATATTTATAGATAAGCGATATATTAACAATTAATTCACCCCCCAGTGCAGTCAAATAATAGCTGTCTTCTTTGCCCAATTACCTTAGATAAAGTTTGTTTCGTCTGCTATCCATCCTTATCCTGTTCTAGGACTGCCCTAGGAGTTCAGGTACTTCTTACTTTTTCTAGAATACAGTTCTACAAGCCCAAATCCAGAATTCTAAGAATGAATAAGCTTCCAGGGCACTCTGAAAACAGCAATCTTTGTAGGGTTTCTACTTTGGGGACAGACACAGGACCTCATTTTCAGAATGAGGCCCTTCCCTAGAATCTTGCTGCATAATGCTGGGCCTGGTCTCCAGCCTCCAAGAATGAAAATCCTTCCATTTCTTTACCTAGGTGTCTCTCTAGCCCCTTTTGTAAAAATTACTGTTTTATAGTACTAATGAGAACAGTATCGTCAAGTCACCTATTAGCTTGTTTTGAAGTTCTTACTTATAAATTGTGGGTAAAAAGGAAGCAGAAACTTGATTAAATAGGCCAGTTTATCTGGCTTAATTCCAAAATCTTATTGCATATGATTTCTCGATTATTTTCATAGTATTTCACTTTTAATCATATGCAGTTAAAAGATAATGTAAGGCAGCTTCCAGGATGTCTTCTATTTTGTCATTTGACAGAGTTCTTAATCATCTGCTAACTCTATTCAGTTGGTATACAGTCATGGAATTTCAATTTCATTCACTATTCACGTAAACAAAATATGATTGTAAAAAATATATATCAAAATATATTGAGAAAATACCTTTCAATTCCAGGGAAACATTATGTGTTCCAAATCATTTTAAAAATCGAGTCTTTGTTTTTTGTTTTGTTTTTACCATATTACATTTTTTACTCATTCAACAACAATTAAATCTCTAATAAGACAAAATTCTGGAAACTGAATCCTAACACCCTTCTTAAATCACTGGACTAATGGGAGTCCCTTGACCCTGAAATGCCTTATAAAAGTCTATTTGAACGAAACGTGTTCTCTCCTCTGTACCTTGTTGTCAGTCCTAATCGTGACTCTCAGTTGTGGTAGTACACGTTCCACTTCTAGACTCCATTCTGCAGCATCTGTTGTGGATTCTAAAATATCTCCTTGTTTGGCAGACTCGTTCATATCCTAAGAAAGGAAAGATATCACAGGATTGAGAATTTATAAAAAGAAGTGATAAAATTTTGAGGCACTTTAGCAGAACTACACAATTTATATCAAGCATGGTAGTGTTAAAGTTACAGTGGCAGAAGAAATGATTTTCTGTTCGAATCCATCTGGAAAGAAAATAATGCACCAACTTGGTAGAATAGCAAAATAAGTATTTTTTAAAAAGAAGCAAATATATGATTCAACTATTTTTACAAAGAACAATGTTTTTGAGATATCAGAGTGAACTCAGTGGGAAATACTATTAAATGGACAAGCCATGTAGGTATGTTAATTGGTAACAGTAGAGGAGATATAAACAAATATGTTTAGTAAGGAAACATTGTCTTACTGACAATATAAACCCCAAATCTGAAAGACAAAAAGATAAGATCCCAGAAGCAAAGGGATTATCGTTTATAGATTTTGTATTCATAATTAAAGTAATATTCTGATTAGGTTGAACTATAATGTAGTTCATAAATGTGATTTAAAACAGACTTATTTGAACTCAAATAGGATAGGGGCTAAATTTCTGCACTTGGTTTTTGCTGTTGAGTAAGAAAATCAATTCACGCCTATTTCTGAGTAAAAAAGGAAACCTTTCTTTTTTCCCCCATTTTCTCAGCCCTTCACATTTCAGCATTGAGTATGTAAACATCTGAAGATGTAAAAAATGTATAAATGATTTAAAGATAAAGTCTAATGCATTAATTTTGGTAGCAATTTTTCCATTTAAGCTCCCTTAATAAATTATAAGAAAATGTAAAGATTAACCCTGTTCATGGATTGGGAGAATTAACATCATTAAAATGTCCATATTACCCAAAGCAACATATAGATTAATGCAATCCCCATCAAAATACCAATGGCATACTTCACAGAATTAGAACAATTACTTCAAAAGTTCATATGGAACCAAAAAAGGCCTCGAATAGCCACAGCAATCTTGAAAAGTAAGAACAAAGTTGGAGGGATCACAATACCAGATTTCAGGTTATACTACAAAGCCACTATAATCAAAACAGCCTGGTACTGGCACAAGAACAGGTATATAGACCAGTGAAACAGAATAGAGAACCCAGAAATGGACCCAAGGCAATATGCTCAATTAATATTTGACAAAGGTGGCAAGAGCATACAGTGGAGTAAGGACAGCCTCTTTAATAAATGGTGCTGGGAAAATTGGACAGCTACTTGCAGAAAAATGAAACTAGACCATCAACTTACACCCTACATCAAAATAAACTCAAAATGGATAAAAGACTTAAATGTAACTCATGAATCCATAAAAATCCTAGAGGAGACTGTGGGCAACAAAATCACAGACATCATACCCAGCAGAATTTTTACTGACACATCACCTAAGGCAATAGAAACAAAGATAGAGTGCTCATACAACTCCACAAAAGGAAGACAAAGAATCCAATTAAAAAAACGGGCAGAGGAACTAAATAGACACCTCTCCAAACAGGACATACAAATGGCTAAGAAACATATGAAGAAATGCTCATCATCACTAATCATCAGAGAGATGCAAATCAAAACAACAATGAGGTATCACCTCACACCTGTCAGAATGGCTGCCATCAACAAATCATCAAACAACAAGTGTTGGCGAGGGTGTGGAGAAAAGGGGACTCTAGTACACTGCTGGTGGGAATGCAGACTGGTGCAGCCACTATGGAAAACAATATGGTGTCACCTCAAAAAATTAAAAATTGATCTTCCATTTGATCCAGTGATCCCACTTCTAGGAATATACCCTAAGAAGCATAAAACACCAATAAGAAAGAATATATGTATCTGCATCTTTGTAGCAGCACTATTTACAATCGCTAAGATCTGGAAACAGCCCAAGTGCCCATCAGTAGACGAATGGATAAAAAAGCAGTGGTACATATACACAATGGAGTACTACGCAGCGGTAAGAAAGAAAGATCTCTTATCCTTTGAGACTACATGGAGGGACCTTGAAAGTATCATCCTAAGTGAAACAAGCCAAACAGAGAAAAACAAATTTCATATGATCTCACTTATTTGTGGAATATAATGAACATAACAGTTTGAGGAATGGGGTAGTCCCAGAGACGCGGAAGCGGGGTACAGACTGACAATCCCCTAAGGAGTGGGGAGGAGGGGGAGGGATGAACCACAGAACTTATACGCATGTATGCATGAACAGTGGACATGGACAACAATCTGGGGAAGGGGCAGGGAGGGGGGGGAGGGGGAATCAGTGGGGGAAAAAGGAGAATCATCTGTAACAAAAATTAATCAATAAAAAATAAATGAAAAAAAAAGAAAATTTAAAGAAAAATATAAAAATTTATTAATGTAGAAAAAAAGAAACCCAAGAGACATAAGCAGCCAAATACAATGTATAAACCTTATATAGATTCTGATTTGAACAAGCAATCTGTAAAAACTGTTGAGACAATCAGGGAAATCTGAATGTGGAAGAGTATTAGATGATAGTAAGGAACTATTAATTTTATAGATGTGATAATGTCATGGTGGTTACATTTTTAAAAAGGGCTTATAAACTAGAGATAAATGCTGAAATATTTCAGGTGAATTGACATGATGTGTGATATTTACTTTAAAATTATGGGGTAAGTAAAGGAGGGAATGCTTTAAAGGAAACACAATTGCAAAATGTTAGCCATTATGACCTGGTAATGTTGCATAAGAGTTTATTATCATATTCTAACTTGGTATATAGTTGAAATATACCATGATAAAACATTTAAAAATAGACTATATATACAGTATAAACAACTTCATGGTGAAATTATATTCTCAATGTTAATTTATGTCACTAGCACAATTTTAAAATGAAAGCTCATTAGACTAGTCTTTCTAATATCATCTAACTCTAAGTTTAGGAATAACCCAATACTGAAATTTGTATTTTAGTTGGGAGCCTGAGGTCTTCAAGGGCTTTGAATTCACTCCCAATTGAGTCTCCTGAGCACTGCTGACAGAAGAAATCCCCTTTCTTCTACCTCCTACCTCACATAACAAGTCCTGAATAGACTCAGAGCCTTAAAAGGAACATATATTACTTTTAGTTCAGAAACTCAGGGGGCTATATAATTCTAACCACACAATTAGAGGATGGATAACTAATATATGCTTTATATATTACAATATGTGGTCTGAATTTATTGTTACATTCTATTTAAACAACCAGAAGTATAAAAAATATAAGCATTAATTTAAGAAAAGTAAAACATGGAAACTCTAATTAAGAAATGTTTGCCATGGCTGGTTTGGCTCAGCGGTTAAAGCGTCAGCCTGCGGTCCACAGAGACCCGTGTTTGGTTCCCGCTAAGGGCATGTACCTTGGCTGCAGTTTGTCCCTGGCCCTGGTTGGGTTGTGCAGGTGGCAGCCACTCAATGTGTACCATTCACGTCGATGTTTCTCTCTCTCTCTCTTCCTCTCTCGCCCTCCCGCTCTATCTGAATAAAAAATGGAAAAATGTCCTCGGGTGAGAATAAAAAAAAAAAAGAAATGTTCAAGATTCGCCCTGGCCGGTTTGGCTCAACGGTTGAAGCTTCAGCCCGCGGACCAGAGAGTCCTGGGTTCAGTTCCTGCTAAGGGCACGTACCTTGGTTGCAGTTTGTCCACCGCCCCAGTTGTCGTCGTGTGGGTGGCAGCCAATCTATGTGTCTCTCTCACATCGATGTTTCTCTCTCTCTCCCTCCCTCTGTCCCTCCCGCTCTATCTGAAGATAAATGCAAAAATGTTTTCGGGTGAGGATAAAAAAAAGAAATGTTCAAGATTCTATTTTAAACATTCCAGTGCTCCTTTAAATACAGAAACATTGCATTATTTTGAGTACTTATTAGAATGCTATGTGCATCTATATAAATTGAATCCAGGGTAGCATAAGAGCACCACAGCTGGGAAGGGGCAGCAGTATTCAGGAAGTAGACATGTGTGAAGTTAAATAAGAATATATGTGATGGCAGGGGGAGAGATATTGGGTCTCCCAGCTGAAACCTAGAGCCATGGCAAAAGTTCTTAGCCCTGTAACTCCACATTGACTTCATTAACATGCATATATTTGGAGGAGTCAGGTAACTGCAATTCACTGGCACATCCCATTACTTGTTCCCAGCTCTAGAAGGCCCAATTCTGACTGGCTCATTTTCCGTAGCAAACAGGGCAGACTTATGAGGCTAGGGATGGGAGGATGTATGCACTGCTAGTGGTATGTGAGCCTGACGTTTGGTGCACGTGTGTAGTACATACATAGGTGTGCTCCCGCCAGGATAATGAGCTCCCATATCCCAATCCCACAGAGCCAGGCTGAGCCAAAGGGGCATATCCTCTGAGAAGCAGTTTTGTATGATTCTTAATAGAATGTAGATATTCTGGTCAGTGATTTAAAAATAAGCTTGATTTATGGAGCCACTGTTTGGGTTAACTGAAGCTGTTTGCTGCTGATTAAATGCCCAAGCCCATACTCCCAACCCCATCCCTTCATTTCCACCTCTTCTTCTTTCATTTCTTACAGGAGGGTGGAGCCCAGAATCCCTATATCAGGCCAGAGAGGGTAACTATCCACATCCTCACTTTCTTCAGGCCTGAACATAAAATTGTTCAAGTTTTGCAAAACATACTCAAAAATTTTACTGAAGGAAGGGCACATTTCTCTAGTTTTCACAAATGCAAATGGGTTAGTAGTGGCCCTGTTTGAATCAGATTCATAATCTAAGAGTAGGGTACATGGAGATCAAACACTCCATGAAGACATCCCAGTGTATAAGCTATTTGTTTTTATACAGGGCCCTTTAGTAAGTTGCATTTACCCTTCTTAGCTTATTATCTGTCCCCTTAAGCAATGATTTGCTAACTCCTATTTCCAATACTCTACAATGTTTTAATGTAGCAGCTCAAAAGTTTTCACTCACTCTAGGCCAGAGTTAACATACTGGGGGAAATGGTGCAGTTACTAAGTGAAGACAAG